GGTTTCTCACCTACCAAATGAATCTAGTAATAATCATTCCATTGGGATTTTTGTGAGGGCAGGAAATGATAGAATGCAGGTAAGTTTATCTAGTCCAAAAGGATAATGGCAGCAATCTGTAGGTTTTTCTTCAAGGGCTGAATATATGAATATAGTGGCACTTTATGAATGAGCCAATGCTTTGAACTTAGTGATTGGCTCCTCTCATTGTGTTATGTGATCTTCACATCATTGTGCTCATACGTCATGTCTATAAAAGACATGTAAACTTACAAAGGCATTTTTAGAGGAGAGGTCCTTGGTCTTTTCAGGAAGTATAAACTGTTATCCTCCTTCTGTGTTTAAAGAATATTTGTAATCTTTATCATTCTTTTGGAGTTAGTGGTATGTGTTTTCATTAGAAAACATTCATTATTCCCCCATTGTTCATTTTCTTGCTCACCTGACCACCCAACCATCTGTCTCTGTGTGTATCCGTATATTTATTTTTCCCAAAGTACCAGTATGTGTAATTCCTCCAAGAGAAAATGACATTCAAGTGATTTGGCATATAGACACTAAAAAGAAGAAAGAAATCTCCAGAAATGTGTTTAAAAGACAGAGGTTCTTTGTTCAGTGTAATTGGAAGATGGAACACTAGCAGCTGCCGTCCAACTACAGAATCACTCTGTTGATAAGTTCTCACATGTTGAAGAGGAAGCGTTATATTAGGTTTCGCAAAAGGTGCTTGCTGGCATCGGGTAATGGCTGGTTGCTGCCTATGGGTAGGCATGAATCTCTAAAGCTGGCAGTACCCCTAGGTCTATGCCTTTCAGAACTGGTGGAGACACCAAGGACTATTAATCCAGTCTCCTAATTTTTCAAATGAGGAACTAATGCAAGGTTCAGAGAGGTGAGTGGATTGTCTAAGTTCAAGTAGGATCCTGGCTGCCTGGCTCCATACCCCAGTGTTGTCTCCATTTGTGTTTTGTGTCTATCTGAGAATTTGTCTGTTTGTCTGTGACCCCACCCCATGGCCTCTTGGTCACAATTGATTGTTCTAGGTTTGATTCCTGACTAATACCAGGCCAGTCCGGTTCCCTGTCTTTCTGAGTCTGATTGACGGCCCCAAGAATGGTAAATCTGATAAAGAGAGGAAGTCTCTCTGGTGGATTAATGTCAGGTATACAGCTCAGGGCTGTGATGGGCATTGGCATCCCTAGTAGAGGAAGCTATTTTTGGCTGTTCTTGAAACCCATCACATCCTTACCCTTCCAGAAGTTTGGATTTTTTTCTCTTGGATTTTTATGAGCCAGCAATCATTCTTTTTACTTAAAATCATTCTAATTGCAATTCTTTCACTAGCAATCAAAAGAATATTGATTAATATTCCCATTGACTTCTTTATTTTAATACTTAGAGTGATTCTCCTTTTCATTTCTTCAAATTCTTCATCCTTAAAGATTATGGCACAAAATACAATAAGTAGTTGTCTCATCTGTTTATAGTCTGAGTTTGCAATCTAAATGAATGTCCAGATTGTACACATTTGATCACAGTGAATGTGTTTCTTACCATCTGTAATTATAATTTCATTTCAGAGCAGTTATAGATTGGGGCACTTAAGTAATCTATTTGAGACATTTTATTAGGGTGAAGGAAGCTTAATTATTATTATTTCTTTAATCTTCTTCACTTATTTTAAGCAACTCCTTGCATATATATTAATATTTTCCCATTCATTTTTGGAGAGAGTGGAAGGAAGAGAGGAAGAGAGAGGAACATCAATGTGAGAGAGAGATATCAATTGATTGCCTCCTATATGCACCCCTACTGAGGCCTTGTCTGGAAATTGAACTCATGAACCTTTGGTGCACAGGCTGATGCTCTGTTCGCTGAGAAACACCAACCAGGGCAGACACCAGTTTTCTGTATGGGTACAGAAAGCATCTACCACAGTGCCCAACATGTCACTCCATGTTAATTTTTCTTTTCTTACTGGGAACAATAAGAAATAGCGTTTCCTTTTATATAGAGAATATTTAACATTTTAACAGGGAAATTGATACCCTATCACCACCCCTCCTAATTGCTGAATGTCAGCTGAGCACTGGTTCCAGCTGTTGTAGAAGGTTATCCAGGTAGGTACCTTAATAGATTTTGTTCAACATGATAATCTTTGAGAACCAGCAAAATGCTATAAATTGTCTTCCTACCATCAGTATTGCTACCACCAAATGTTTAGCACCTTAGAGGTTACAAAGTTCACGTATATAAAATCAATCCTCACAACAACCCAGAAAGATGTCTTTTAATTAAAGAAGCTGAAGCATGGGTTGTTTTTAAATATGTCTTGCTTAAGAACAGAATTGTGACCCTGGAACTAAAAAAAAAAAGTCTTCTGTCTGAGTCAGTATTTTTTTTTTAAATATCACAGTGATAATATGAAATCTGAGTACTTCCCATGAAAAATTTGGAATCTTTAGATATCATTAATCCTTATTTCATTAAATTATCAAATGAATTGATACCAAGGATGCGGAACCCTGATATTGAGCTTCCCTGGTGACCTGGGACCCCATCCCCTTCAGAGCACTCACATACTGACTTATCGTCCTCATGCCACACACCACACAAGTCAGGAGTGCGTGAGTGTGTTTGTTTTGAGGAGGTTGGGGATGGGGAAGGTAGTGCATGAGTGAAAGCATTTGTTAGTCACTAAGAGGGTTTGAAAGGTGAATCAGATATCCTCACCCCACAGACCTTGGGTCTGTATAAAGGCAGTGAGATGAAGAACAGATTCAGTTAATAGGAAGAACAGGAGCCTGGAAGGACAGTTCATAAACAGAGACCTTGGGGAAATGAGATACAAGGAGTCCAGTTTGGCTGGAGCATATCATGTGTAAAAATAAATAGGGAGAGAAGGTTGGGAAGGGGGAGAAGGGCTAGGCCAGGGTAAGGAGTTTGAACAGCATTCTTTGGGCAGTTGGGAGCCATTGATGGTTTTTGAATGGTTTAGTGATGTGATCATAGCTTGGGCACATATTTCTTATTAGAGTAAACTTTGATATCTCTGTTTCCCATGCCCCTCATATAAACAGCCCTATTGGTTTTACTTACAGAATAAATCGTGGGCTTACCACTCTGCTCCACTGCCACTAGGCTCACCCAAGTCCCTGTCATCTGTCAGCTGGGTTGCCATGGCAGCTTCTTTGGTGGCTTGCTGCTTTCACTCTTGCCCTGCCAACCAGTCCAGTGCAAGTAAAAACTGCCATTGTCCTGGTTAAAGCCCTGCATCATCTTTTCATCACTCTTGGAGTAAAATCCAAACTCCTAGTGTAACCCTACATGGCCGGACCCTGCCACTCTCTGAACACATGGTTTAACGTCTCTTCCCCTCTCTCACTTGGCTCTTGCCACTCTGGCCTCCTCTGTATTTTCTGAACCCAAGCTCCTTCCCAGCTCAGAGTCTGTGCATTTGCTTGGTTGACCTGCCTAGAATGCTCTTTCCCCAGACCTTCACATGACTATTAGCTCCTTACCAAAAGATGCCCCTTGATGTACAGTAGTCCCTGCCCCAGACACACCCTCTGTCATTTACTGGGACTCATTTTCTTCATAGCACACTTACTACTGTCTAAATGGGTTTCTTTATTGACTTGAGTTTATTGTGAGCAGGGATTTCGTTTTGTTCACTGCTGTATCGCCAATACTTAGAAAAGGTCTTGCACACAGTGCATATGTATTGAATTAATAAAGTTAGAGATTTGAATGAGTGGAGCAGGGAGGCCAGACCGGAGCCTGCTGCAGTATGTGCAGTACAGGGTGCACTGAGAGGTTTTTCAGAGGAAGCAAGGGGCAGAGGCAGTATTTGCCATAGCTTGGAGTGCTGAGTCATTGGAGAGGGAAGAGGTAGAGACATTTGAACTCGGACCAGTTATAAGGAACCCAGGATTCTTTGGACACAACCAACCATCTTCATTATAACGCATCCTGTACTCCTGCCTTCAGAAGAACTTGAAGCCTCCAACTTCTGGTGCTCTTGGGTTTTATGACAAAACTGGGTGATTTCCTATAGATGTCCCCTCACTCCAACCAACCTCTCCTCCACCCACCCACCCAACTCCTTGGAAGCTTACGTCTCAGCTTTCATATGTCTCCTTTGCCCGTTTTCTTTCCATTTTCTAAAAGGTCATTTTTTTTTTCTTGTCTGTCTTTTTCTCTGTCCTTATTGGGCCTTACCTTTTTTCTTCCTTTCCCCTCAGCTTACTGGGATATGAGGAAAGAGTGGAGATAAACGCATGTGTTTAAGCTACTAAGTTTAACCAGAGTTCCCCCCAAATCCAGTTTGGTTGGCTTTTATTTTTACTAATTTATTTGATAGCACTTGGGTTCACATGTTTGAAGAAGATGTCCTTGGAGAGGAGGCCAGAGGGGTCCTAAAATGCCGTGTTCTTGAAATGCTCACAGCGGCTCAGTGTGAGATCCCAGAGGCCAGTCATTTCCAACCACTGGACTCTCATAGAAATGTAGTTTCACCCTTATTTGTGTAAACCTTCGGGAATGTTTTAACATGTTTGTAATAAAATTTGTGGCTTATTGTTTAAAATTGAATTTAAGGTACTAAATCAAAGCTTTTGGTGGCATGCCCCTGACAGCAGGGAGAGCCTGGGAAGTGATCCCTAAGAGCTGATCAAAGGGAGTTGCTGAGCATTTTTCCCCCCCTGTATTTGTGTTTGGTCCTTTAATCTGGTAGTGTTTCCAGTTCCATTCTGAATACAGTAATGCACACTCCACCCCCACTCAAGTCTTCTTGGCAGCATCTGGCACCGTCTTTGCCAAATGACCCCTGTTCAGGCATCGGCCTGCCTTTGCTATCAAGCCTATACAAGGCAGGAACAATGGTGATTGTCAGGAAACGGGCATCGTTCAAGATCTTATTCATAGCACATTTTTGTTGTAGTAATCAAATGAAAATAGTAAAATTGACTGAGAAGTGATCACTAGTCATTTCTGCCTAGGTTCACCTTTCCTGGCCAGTGAAGACGGTGTGCTTGGAGGAGTGATTGTTCTTCGATCTTGCAGATGTTCTGCAGAGCCTGACTCCTCCCAAAATAAGCAGACACTTCTAGGTAAGCTGGACATAAACAGTATGTGTGTGTCTTTCTTTCATATTTTCAAGACATGGAAAGATTTATATCCTTAAGTCAATAAGCTGTGGGAGAGCCAGGATGCTCTGTTGACATGTAATGTTCTCTAGTCTCCTGATCTTTTTGCATAGATAAACATCCAAAAGATGAATGTTTACTTCTGAGTCTGTGCGTAGAGAATAGTTTTCAAATGGGCTTAGAACCAAGGATCTTCACAAAAGCTCAATATTAAGAATATGGGACCATGTATTTATCCCCAGCCTTATTCTACAAAACATTTGAGATGACCCATAACAATATACACAGTAACATAGAGTTCCTTCCTGTCCTCCCTCCCGAAAAGGAATCAGAACCATGTGAAGAACTACTGGCCTAGAAATCCATCCTGACTCCATCCCTTATTAGCTGCGACACCTTCATGCATCAGTCTTACTGCTCTTTGTCACTTCACATCTGTAAAATAAGGACATCTGCCATGTCCTCTCATAAAGCTGTGGTGAGGACGGACCAAATGAGTGTTTTTCAGATTTGCAGATGTTCATCCAGATGTGTGCTTTTGTGTCTAGCCAAATGCATCAGTGGGGATAAAACCCAGCCTGTCCTCCACTTGCCATGGCCCAAACTTGTAGGCTACCTCTCCCATGGGGTGTCTTTTTCTAATTCATTCACCCAGAGGGGGTATTTTTAAAAATCTGCATAAAGGTACCACATAAACTAGCAGGGAGCCATGTATGTTATTTTTTTTATTGACTTTTAAATTGAAGTATACATACATGCAGAAAAGTGCACAAATCATAGCTGCAACTAATTGACAAATTATTGCAAAGTGAACCCACCTATGTAAGCAGTACCCATATAAAAAATAGAACTTAACTACAGCTCCAGAACACCCCTTGTAATCCCTCCCAGTCTCTATCCCCTCCAAAGTTAACCACTATGCTGACTTCTAACACCATGATTAGTTTTGCTTGGTTTTATATTTTATATAAATGGAAGCATTGGATGTGTACTATTTGTGTCTGATGTGTTCAGTCAACCTTAAGCCTATTAGATTCATCCATCTTATTAGACATGTCATTAGTTTGTTTATTTCCATTGTTGTATAGTATTTCGTTGTATGGATATTCCAGTCTGTATTTATCCATTCTTCTCTAAGTATTTTTTATATGAGCAGTATAGGTAATGCACAGGTAGTTCAGACCTTTGTATCAAATTCCGTATAGAAAGTGTGGGTGGTGCCTGATCTATGTTGTATGATTGTTATGGATTGTTATAGTACAAGTCTCTTCATACCCTAAGGTTCTGTGAGTATAAAATAGAAGACTGAGCATTTCTTATGAGTGTAAACAGTATTTTCTCTATAGAAGCGCAAAGATCTTTCATAGAATCTCTCCCCTCATTCCTCAAAGGAAAAAAAAAGTACTTTTATATAAAAGGCCTTTTTCTCCACCTGGATTCTGACCACCAACCTCATCATATTTTTGGTAATCTCTCTTTCTACCCATTATACTTGGTAATGATTTGGCTTTGGGACATTTTTTTTAAATGGCCACCTTTTAAAAAAACAAGTCTATAATAATAAAAGCTTAATATGCTAATTCGACCAGACGACCTTCCAGACGAAGCCAGGGCTGCGAGGAAAGCACAGGTCTCTGATGCCTGCCGTTGGCTGGAGGGAAGCCTGGGTCCTGGGTGCCAGAGGGAAGCTAGTGCTGGCAGCCGGGGGAAGAAAGACCTACTCTTGCATGAATTTTGTGCATCGGGCCTCTAGTAAATAAATAAATGGCCACCTTTTGTTAAACTAAGGCACATTAGCCATTTGCTTATTAATCATTGCTGAATCCTTTGAATCTCTTTCCCAGTAGATAGTAGGGAGTTTGATTTTAGAATATGCAGAGGTTGTAGCTGGGCCTTCCAAAAGAACTCAGAATAACCCTTGGTATGTGGAGTTGGGAGGGCAGTTATTAAAACTGCTTCGTGGACTGATCCGGACAGAGGGTCACTTCTTTACTGAGCCTGGACTCTTGCCCATTAGAGTTAATCCTGAAGATTGTAAGGTATTTTTGGTGGTATAGTATAGAAATGCATATTTAAGGATAAATCATAGAATTTTTGCTTATGTTAAATAGTTTTTATTAGCAAGTTAGTAATTTTCTCTGTCTTAAGAAGAATGAAATGTAATGTCAATTTATGAAATAAGTGAAATTTGTTAAAGTGAACTAGAGGGATTGATATTTGTGAGGTTTATCTACTAAAACCCAGTGAATACTAGTATCAACGCATAGATGCTACAAACTACATGGATGTTTACATTTTTGGCTTTGAAAAAGTTATGTATATTCAGTATGTAGTAAGAAAGCAAACATGGTACAGAAGGATAGGAAGGGAGACAGAAAGTCATCTCTGCCGCCCCATTCTCAGAGCCACCAGTCTCTGGATCTGGTTATTCTCATGGGAGGCACCTTCACTCTATGGGATGTATTCATGCTTCTATTTCTGGATTAGTCAGTAACTTATGCCTCTTGGGGGGGGGGGGGGGAATTAACACAACTCACACCAGTTCCACTCCCCTTTCCTCCTGACTTTTGTTAGAATTCTACTCTAGCTTGAAATTATGTTTTTTAATTTTATTGCTACTTTAACACACTATTTCTTGATTCATCAACTTTATATAATCAACTATCCCTTACCCTTAAACTATGTAAGAATAGGAAAGTTCATGTGCTCCTTTCCTTTTTCCTCCTTCTCTCACTCCCAACCCTACCTAACCTCTAGCAACCATACCATTATTGTCATGGTTATTAACATTTACATTCTGTTCTGTAGCTATACTTGTCTCTACTTATCTTTGATTAGAGGTTGATTCCAAACAGTGCCAATTAGTAATCAGCATTGACAGTATCAAGATTGTATAAATAGTATTCACTGCAGATCCTGATAGTGGAAGATTATACCTATAAGGGAAGTGTCTGTCATAAACCTCTGCCTGCAAAAGGAGAATATTTGAAATGTGAAGCTCAGGTGGATACTCCTGTGTGGCACCCTATCAGTTGCCCCAAATCAGGCCACAACTTCATTTGCTTCATGTTTGGACCATGACTTCTCATTTATCTATACATATAAAGAGGTAATATGCTAATTGCCATTATGGTGTCCCCATAACAACCAATTTGCATATATGCGTGCGCAGCAGTGGGGGCTGGCAGCTGGAGCCAAGTTCCTGGAGTTCTGAGGAGAGCTCCTGACAGGAGCCTGGACTGCAAAGAAGGAAGAGGAAGCGGCCATGGGGAGCTCTTCCGATCCCCCTGCACGGACACCCTACCCCAGCCCCCGCATCCCCAGGGGGATGGGATAGACACCCTACCCCAGCCCCCGCACCCCTGGGGGGGGGATGGGGAGGCTGACTGGATGGGGAGAAGATACAGCCTCGGGGTAGCTGTAGCCC